CGAGGCACGTATGCCCTCGCAAAACACGCGCAAATTGCGATGGATTTGCGAGGGACAATTAAAAAAAAATAAAAAAAAATCCGTATTAAATTTTGCGATGGATTTGCGAGGGAAAATTAAAAAAAAAATAAAAAAAAAAAGAAAATAATAAAATGCATTTAAATTTTATCAATATATAGATATATATTGATAAATTTTAAATGCATAATATTATTTTCTATAATGCATAATAATATTCAAAATACAATAAGAAAGTTTTAAGTCAAATTTTAGAAAATCCTTAAAAGGTTTCTAAAATTAATAATCTTTAAAAATAATAACAATTTAAATTTGAAAATTAGTTATTAATATATAATCTAAAATTTCATACTAAAAAAATTCTAAAAATTAACAATTCAATTTCTAAATGAAACCTAAAATAATTTAAAATTCCAATCCTAATATAAAACTAAATTTCTAAATCCAAAACTAACAAATCCAATACCTTTCACAATAATCTAAATCTAGAAATCCTAATTTTCTAATTTTAAAACTAGCAAACTCCTAAATCTAAAACTATAATAATACAAATCTATACATAAATCTAACAATGAAATTAAAAAACATACCTTTGAAGAGATGTGAATGATAGGAATGAAGACTTTTTAAGTAAGAGGAAATGAGATGTGAATGAGTGAGAGAAGAGTTTTTAAGTAAGAGGAAATGAGAGATGTTTGAGCATAGCTCAAACATGCAATCACTTATATATATATTTATACCGTCGCAATTCCCTAGCAAATCCCTCGCAAAAGTTTTGAAAATTTTCGGTAAAATTTTTGAAATTTCAGCCAAAACGTTGAAGCGCGAAAAACTGAAAATGTTTGCGAGGGAATTGCTATGGTCCCTCGCAATTCCCTCGCAAAACTCTTGATTTAGGGTTTAGTTTTGCGAGGGAATTACTAGTATCCCTCGCAAATCCCTCGCAATGTTTTGAAATATTTGCCAAAAGTTTTAAAATTTCCGCCAAAGAATTGAACCGCGAAAAAACTGAAAATATTTGCGAGAGAATTGCGAGGCATCATAGCAAATCCCTCGCAAATGGTTTAGGGTATAGGGTTTAGGGATTCATAAGTGGTTTCCACTTTTGCGAGGGAATTGCTATGGTCCCTCGCAATTCCCTCGCAAAACTCTTGATTTAGGGTTTAGTTTTGCGAGGGAATTACTAGTATCCCTCGCAAATCCCTCGCAAAATAGAATCAATTTGAAAAAAAAACAACAAAACCCTACTAAAAATCATTCGGATTCATTTTTTTGAATCATTAGGAAGTTAAATATCTACATTAGAATCTACTTTCTTATCATATACTTCGAATTCGTCCGAATGTGCATTTTCCTCAAATACATCAATGATGATCTTATGTTTTTATATAATATGAATCAATGTTTATGACATTTTCAAAATAAAATGTTAATATTGAAACCTATACAACATTTTTTTATGCATCACCATATATTCAACTTGTCTGATTATATGGTCTCTTAGATTCATATTTATAAATAAAAATCAAAGATCGCAAAACACTTTTATGTATTTTAGGGTTTAGGGTAAAGATTTGCGAGGTATGTGCGGGAGATTTGCGACAGAGTATATTGTTCCTCGCAAAGTACTCGTAAGTCGCTCGCAATTTTGCGAGGAAACTTTCCCTCGCAAAATTTGCGACGGAAGTGCGACGCGCGTCCTTTTCGTAGCAAATTACTTGCAATTCCCTCGCAAATTTGCGAGGAAACGTTCCCTCGCAAAATTTGCGACGGAAGTGCGACGCGCGTCCTTTTCGTAGCAAATTACTTGCAATTCCCTCGCAAATTTGCGAGGAAACGTTCCCTCGCAAAATTTGCGACGGAAGTGCGACGCGCGTCCTTTTCGTAGCAAATTACTTGCAATTCCCTCGCAAATTTGCGAGGGATGGTTTCCCTCGCAAAGTTGCCTCGCAAAACGACTGTTTTCTTGTAGTGACACAACCATAGATAGCAAAAATTGAAAGAGATTCTTATAAAAGATTGAACATGATGTAATATTTCATCGCACATGGCATATGTTCAATGCCACGACAATCAAGAAAATCAAGAGTAACTCCACGGTAACTCTCCATATCGTACAACAATTTTTTTTTTCCTGATATAGAATCCATAATTTGAATTCTTTCAAAGTATATTGAGCAATATTAGTCAAATTAACCTAGGTTCATAATGTAAAAAAACATGTAAATATTACAAGTATAGAACCTCCATAATTGTACATAATCTAACAGAGATATACGTCCACAACATCAATATTAAGTACACTTACACGGAAAGAAGTTAAAGGGACAAGTATACAACAGAAGTTACAAAATTTTCTCCCCAACCGCAAATTGCATACATACACAAAAATGTTTTTTTAATAATTTAGTTTTGAAACAGTGACCATTCAATTCTTTTGTATTTCAATCACTTTTCTGTAAGTTATTCCATATACGTACACGAGTTAAATGTAAATTAAGATCGTGTATAGGGGTGTCAAAATGAGCTAGCTCGCTCAACTCGGCTCAGCTCATGATGAGCTCGGCCATTTCATGAGCTAGCTCAGCTCAGCTCATTTATTAGATGAGCTTCAATATATAAACTCGGACTCAGATCATCTTGGTCGCGAGTTATGTGAGCTAGCTCGCGAGCTCATAACAAATAAATATAATAACAAAAATAATGTAAATTTTTTAAAAAATAAATCCAATAACATAATAATTCTAAAGTTAAATAATGAAAATAAATCCAAGAAAAAAAAACCACAAAACACAAATTTTCTAATACCATAATTCTATTTTTATTTAGTTTAAATGGAAATTATATATATGCTTCTGTTGATATTTTGTATATATTTACAATATATATATATATATATATATATATATATATATATATTTCTAAAAAAAAGCCGAGCTCATGAGCTAGCTCATGTTCATTAAAGCTCGCTCATATAACTCGCGATCTAAAAAGAGCTCGATCACATAACTCATTTATTAAATGAGCCTAAAAAACAGAGCTCGTGCTCATGAAAAATCGAGCTGAGCTGAGCCAGCTCATGAGTTGCGAGCTCATTTTGACACCCCTAATCGTGTACATGATAAAAAAATAAAATTTAACACATACAACATGGAAGTGTGTTTACAAACAAAAAACAATTTTTCAGATGACCAACTAATTAGGATTATTACATGTGTACTATATTTTTCATAGTAACATGTATGAGTAACCAATTAATATTATTTTCATGTACGTGTTATATCAAAAATCAAACTTACTAATTAGAGTAGTGATATAAGAAAATGAAATGTAAATGCATATTATATTTGCATGCCGTTTAGTACAATAGACAAAATTTTAATTCTTTTTATTTATGTTTTAAGATCTATTTTATTATATTTTATTTTTATGTGTATACACCATTAAATAATTCGTATACATATAAAACATTTTACACCATGTATATTACAAATATTCAACCAAAACATGCAAAACATATACGTTTATAAGTCAATATTTGTATCGAATATATTTCATGTATGTCTATCACTAAGTCATATACGTTCACAACAATATTGAACTAACAACCAGACTAGTCCTTACGATTCGGAGAATGTAAAATATGGGATATGCACTTTATTTAATGTGTTTCTAGTTTGTTGAAAAATAAATTATGAAAAGAAAACAACTAAATATGTTGTGGAGGTATGTTGTGAAAATGTTAATCAACGAAAAAACTCCTTGTGGAGGGTAATGAACCAAGAAAACAATCCAACCGGCAACCCTTCAGATCATACAATAATATTATCCTCACATATTGAGTCCATACTTCTAATTTTTGTAAGATATGTTGCGAAATATTAATCAAATTAACCAAAAGTTTCTAATATACAAACTCTATAATATTGCGTACATCGTCTCCACAATAGTACATAATCTAACAGACGTACACGTCCACATAATAAATATTGCGTACACCGTAAATTGTGTACACGTACACGGAAGAAATTCAAACAAGGACATGATTGTAATTTTGCAGTCATCTTCAACCTGAATATCCTCTTCTGCAACTCCACTTTTTGCTTTTGCTCTCCGACCATGTTCAATACATGCAAATCGATTTCACTCTCAATATCTTCTCGCCGACTATCCCTCTTCACCGAGATTTGGGTCATGTTTACGGAAATCCAAATTTCCAAGACACGAAATTCGTCTTTTCGTTGAGTCATCAACTCTGATACCTTGGAAATTTGTATCTTCTCCTCGCAGGAAATCTTAAATCTGTTTTTACTCGCTTGAAAAAACATCAATCAAAGATGAATGAAAGATTTAACAAGTAATCTCTCAAACGATTACCTCTCAAATTTTCAGAAAATATCTTGGTGAAGAAGTTGAGATTTTCAATTTCTCTTTACTTTTTTTTTTCTTCGTTTCTTTTCCCAAAAATATTAGTTTTTTTTTATTTAGTTATAAATGAGACAAAACACAAAAATAGTTGGATTATAATTGAACTAGAACAGTTTGTGTTTAAGGGCATTTTTGTCAGAAAAGTGGCAAATTGTCAAAACTTGAAAGTCCACGTTCACCTTGTCAATTGGTGAGACAAAAACTCATTTCTGTCCCTTTTGTGAAAATTTCTTATAAAATTATGAAGAAAACGGTGGCATTCTAGCAATTTTTTCCGGAGAAAGTGGCTTTCTAGCCATTGTTTCCTTCCGATACGCGGCGAAGCATTTTTAAATTTGGTTTAAACCACTGAACCGTAACTACAATCCTTCCGGTCCAGTTCTATCTTAAAAACCAAATCCAAATTTAATTTAACCAATCAAACCGTAATTGCAAACCAATCCGCTTAAAAACCAAAAAACAACACCACCTTCTTCGATTATCGTCGAGTCCCTTTTTCACTTCCTCAGATTTCTAGGGTTCGCTCAAACAAACAAAGAGAACTCAAATTCTGTAATTTATAGATTTGGGAATTTTCCAGATCGGAACCCTAAACGATGCCGCGAAGCAGAGACGAAGACGATGAAATAGACGGAGACTACGAAGGATTGGAATTAGAGGAAGAAGAGGAAGAAGACGAAGAAGAAGAAGAGAGAGGAAGAGGCGGCGGCGGTTCTAGACGGAAGAGAGGAAGATCGAATTTTATTGATGATTATGCGGATGAAGATTCACAGGAAGAAGACGATGATGATGAAGATTATGGTAGCCGTGGAGGTAAAGGAGCTGCTAGTAAGAGAAAGAAGCCTTCTGCTTCCATATTCTTAGACCGAGAAGCTCATCAGGTTGATGATGAGGATGAAGAAGACGAAGAAGAAGGAGAAGATGGTAAGTACTCTTCAATTTACGAATTGGTTTTTGTTCTTTGTATATGTGATTGAGATTGGTTCTCAGAAGTCACCATTGATAAGAAATGGTTGCTTGTTTGTATTACTTAAGCATTTTCATAATTATTCTCGTTTTGCTAGTCACTGTAAATGTTAACTAGTTGAAGGATTTTTTTAAAATGCAGACTTTATTGTGGATGCTGGAACGGACCTTCCGGATGAGCGTGGTGATAGACGGTATGAACGGAGGTTTCTTTCTCGTGATGAAAATGATGAGGATGTGGAAGATCTCGAGAGAAGAATTCAAGAGCGGTTCTCTAGGCATCATGAAGAATATGATGAAGAAGCTACTGATGTTGAGCAGCAAGCGCTTTTGCCATCAGTTCGTGATCCGAAATTGTGGATGGTGAAATGTGCGGTAGGTGTTTTACATAGTTTGCTTTGGAAGTTAGAAGTCTTGTTTCTTTGTCTTCTTATTTACTTTATTTAAGGTTCTGTGTTCTGTGAAACTTGGAACTGATTCGTTCTGATTTTCACGTTGCAATGTCAGATTGGTCGCGAAAGGGAGGTTGCTGTTTGTCTTATGCAAAAATTTATAGATCGAGGAGCAGATTTGCAGATTAGATCTGTTGTTGCCCTTGACCATCTTAAGAATTATATATATGTTGAAGCAGACAAGGAAGCTCATGTGAAAGAGGTATTTGATGGTTACCCTGTATGATATATAGTTTGATCTTTCGCGCTAGTGATAGTGTTCATTAGTGTTGTAACTGGGTGTGAAGACGGTATTCATGCTATTTCTTTTACTTGTATTAGGCAATCAAGGGCATGAGGAATATATATGCTAATCAGAAGATCTTACTTGTCCCAATAAGAGAAATGACAGATGTGCTTTCTGTTGAAAGCAAAGCAATTGATCTATCTCGGGATACCTGGGTTAGAATGAAAATCGGGACGTATAAAGGTGATCTTGCAAAGGTATGATGTATTTTCATGTGTAGTCATTGATAAAAGTACCCACAGACTGCTGAAATTTAAGTCCTTTGCAGGTAGTTGACGTTGATAATGTGCGTCAGAGGGTCACAGTCAAGTTAATCCCAAGAATTGATCTGCAGGCACTAGCCAGTAAGCTGGTATGGATTCTTTCTGTGCTTAAGAAAAAGATGGTACTATTGTGTTTGGTAAACATGTCTAGTAAAGTAATAGCTAAACTTAGCCTGTTAAAGAAAATTACGACGACTGTCCTTTGCATTCTAAGGTTTTTGAGTGTGATCTAGTCATTTAAACTATACAATTATTTGGGCACACTATGCTTGACTAATTGCAGGACGGAAGAGAAGTTTCAAAGAAAAAAGCCTTTGTTCCACCTCCACGTTTCATGAACATTGATGAAGCAAGGTACCCCTTTTAGATACTGTACGCTGTACTTTAATTTTATGAAGCCTGTTATGGAGAAGGTTTTACAAAAGTGCTGGATTTTAAAAATTGTTACATGACTTTAGGGAATTGCACATACGAGTTGAGCGTCGGCGTGATCCCATGACGGGTGATTACTTTGAAAATATTGGTGGCATGCTTTTCAAAGATGGTTTTCTGTACAAAACGGTATCATTGAAGTCCATCACTGTTCAGAATGTTACACCAACTTTTGACGAACTTGAAAAATTCAATAAACCAAGTGAAAATGGAGAGGGGGACTTTGGTGGTCTGTCAACTTTATTTGCAAACAGAAAGAAAGGGCATTTCATGAAGGGTGATGCGGTTATTGTTATAAAGGGGGATCTGAAAAACTTGAAGGGTTGGGTTGAGAAAGTAGATGAAGAAAATGTCCTTATCAGATCAGAAATGAAAGGTCTCCCTGTAAGCATCCTTACCCTTTGGCTGTTCGTTACTGCTTGCATGTTTCTGAAATGATCCAGCCAAGAAAAACTGCTGAGCATGACTCTTGTGTTGCAGGATCCTCTTGCTGTAAATGAGAGAGAGCTTTGCAAGTACTTTGAACCTGGAAATCATGTGAAGGTTGTTTCTGGGACCCATGAAGGAGCAACAGGCATGGTTGTCAAAGTTGATCAACACGTGCTTATCATTCTGTCTGACACAACCAAAGAACATGTAAACCAACTTTTGCATATGGATTGAGCTTATTTCTGCCTAGTAGGGTTACTAAATCCCAAGAGAATATACTTGTAGGTCCGAGTGTTTGCTGATCATGTTGTTGAGAGCTCAGAAGTGACAACTGGTGTTACCAAAATTGGGGACTATGAACTTCATGATCTTGTGCTTCTGGAGTAAGTGGAGTACCTAATCACCTTGAAGTGATGCATATTTCCCATTTACACGTGCATGAAAGCCTTATTTATTTGATGCAGTAACCTGAGCTTTGGAGTAATTATACGACTAGAGAATGAAGCTTTTCAGGTAAATTGCCAATTTTCCGAGAATACCACTAGTTAAGTCTATGCTTAACTGCCAGAATTTGATTTTTTTTTTCTTTTGGGATACTTTTCTGTAAACTCCCAGTGGAGCTAGGAATAACTCTGTTTCAATGTCCTTAGGTTCTTAAAGGGGTTCCTGACAGACCAGAGGTTGCTCTTGTCAAACTCAGAGAAATCAAATGCAAAATTGAGAAGAAAATCAATGTTCAAGATCGCTACAAAAATGTCATTGCTGTGAAAGATGACGTCAGAGTCATCGAGGGTCCTAGCAAAGTGAGTACCTTTGCTGTCTGGTTGTTGGTTACCTTGCTCAACTTTACTGATCTCATATCAATTAATTTCTGCATAATAGGGTAAACAAGGTCCGGTGAAGCATATCTACAAAGGAGTCTTATTTATATATGATCGGCATCACCTTGAGCATGCTGGATTTATCTGCGCTAAATGCACATCATGCATTGTTGTTGGTGGATCACGTTCTGGCGCTAATAGAAATGTAAGTGTCTTGTTGTGATGTGGCCATGTTTTTTTATATTTTCATCAAACTGTAGCTTCACCTTATCCAGCTATTTTTCTACTCTAGGGTGGTGATTCTTTTTCAAGGTATGGCAATTTCAAGGCACCTGCCCCAGTACCCTCATCCCCAGGAAGATTTCAACGTGGCAGAGGCGGAGGATATAATAACTGTATGTTCAATCTTTTCTTTCTATTTTGGTTATGAGTAAGAACACCTAATGTGTTGTTTAGTTGATATTTGCATTCTGCACTGGTCTGCTGCTCTTAATATTTATTCAGGATAAGACAATATTTCCACTATATATGACTTGTACAGTCTTCTGGTAGTACAATGTATCATTGCTTCAAACCAATATTACTTTGCATATCTTTTGTGACATGCTTATACATCTTATCTACGTAAAGTTTCACATACTCTTATTTGTATCTTTAAATGCAGCTGGAGGGAGGCATGGGGGTGGAAGAGGACGGGGAGACGATTCTTTGTTGGGTACTACTGTTAAGATCCGTCTAGGACCTTTCAAAGGGTATAGGGGACCTGTAGTAGAAGTGAAAGGAAATTCAGTGCGTGTAGAACTTGAGATGAAGATTGTGACAGGCAAGCCCTTGAATTCACTTCTCCGCATGTGGGTTTCTTCATGTCGAAGGAATTCTAACTATAGTTTGTATATGCAGTTGATCGGGATGCAATATCAGATAATGTTGCGACAACACCGTTTAGGTAATCTACTAATTTTTATCTCATTGGTTATTTTGACTTCAACTATTATGAAGGACTTTGATTATATCATTTGAAATCTACACAGAGATACATCTCGGTATAGTATGGGAAGCGAAACACCTATGCATCCTTCTCGGACTCCACTTCATCCTTATATGACTCCAATGCGCGACTCTGGAGGTTTGTTTTCTAGATATTACACGGCTTAGGATCCAATATCTGTTTATTTTTATAGCACCTCCTCTGTAATATGTTCTCAAGTTCCTTGGTGATTTTATGTAATTTCAGCTACACCAATCCATGATGGAATGAGGACACCCATGCGTGATAGAGCTTGGAATCCTTACACGCCTATGAGTCCACCTAGGTAAGTTTGTTGTTGCGTTTCTATTTTCAAAAGTTGATTTCCTCTTCCATCTCCCTCCTGTTTCTCTTTAATTTTGTAGTAATCTTGCATCAATATGAGATTGTCTGTTATGTTTTATACAAACATGGCTATTGTCTCAATTATTTCCAGAAATTCTTAACACATCTGAGAATTGTAAATATTGATTGAAGAATAAACTTGGATATCTCTCAAATTATGGTTGTTATGGCATCAGGGATAACTGGGAAGATGGAAATCCGGCATCTTGGGGAACGAGTCCTCAATATCAGGTAAGAGTTATCCATCTATTGTTTTGCTTTCAACCTTATTATTAATGTCTCCGACATGTAGTATTGTATTGATTGCGGGCTAAAATCGTTTGTGTGATACTTGTTCAGCCGGGAAGTCCTCCTTCACGAGCATATGAAGCACCAACTCCTGGCTCTGGATGGGCTAGTACTCCTGGTGGTAGTTACTCGGATGCGGGGACACCTAGAGACCATGGTTCAGCTTACGGTAAGATGCGTGTAATCTCTTTCATAACGTTGACTTTTCTTGTCTGGCCTGTCTTTTTCTCACTTACCTTGTTATGCAGCTAATGCCCCAAGTCCTTACCTACCATCGACCCCTGGGCAACCCATGACACCAAGCTCGGCTTCATACTTACCTGGAACTCCTGGAGGACAACCAATGACTCCTGGAACTGGCCTCGATGTCATGTCTCCTGTTATAGGTATGTCTATTCTTGGGGTATAGTTAAAAGGAGAAAAAATTTGTTTAGTCCGACCTTGCATCTTCCTTGTCAGTCCCCCGTAGTTAGAAGTTTCCATGTCTATGTTGGTTTTCTTAGCTTATTGTAAATATGACAGGTGGGGATGCTGAAGCATGGTTCATGCCCGATATTTTGGTTGACGTACACAAGGCTGGAGAAGACAGCGATGTGGGCGTCATCCGAGATGTTTCGGTTCGTCTTTTTCTTTTCATGAATTCCAGTTTTATTTCAATAAGAAAGAACTACTAGTGATAAACAAAACCAGGAGAAAGGACAATGATCAAAGTTACATATAGAGAAGCTTGTACACCTTGATTGTGAGAAGTGGTTCTGTATATGTTGGAGTGATAGGTTCCTTCTAACGCCCACAATCTTCCTATGTGCTACTTTTGTCAGGATGGAACGTGTAAAGTGTCTCTCGGGTCCAGCGGTGAAGGTGACACTATAATGGCCCTCCCAAGCGAACTGGAGATAATTCCTCCGAGGAAATCTGACCGTGTCAAAATAGTTGGTGGCCAATATCGTGGGTCTACAGGTAAGCTGATCGGAATCGACGGGTCTGACGGAATCGTTAAGATAGATGATAATCTTGACGTCAAGATTCTGGACCTGGCCTTATTAGCCAAGTTTGTGCAACCGTGATAGTGTTCTTCTAATGAACGTTTAATTTTATCTTGTGAGACACGTATATTGTAATCTTATATTTCTCTATAGTTTATAAAGAAACTTTGAATCTTATTTTCCAATTATCGGAGAAAACCTTTGAATCTTTTCTCCAGTTTTGTGCTTTTCTGGTAATGCTCCATCTTTTCTACTTTTTTAGTTTAGCATGTTAATCCCCCCCTACCTATTATAAGTTATAGTATTATTATACATAACGATTGATGGGAACTGTCTAAAGTGAATTAAAATTAAAATGAGTGTAAAATCTAAATGTAAAATCGAGAGATGTCATATTCATGTTCAATATTTTGCTAGTTCTCATAAAAGTATAAACGAGAGATGGAGTACCTAGCCCTGTCTCTAAGCTATGGTCTTACATTACAACCACTCCAGAATTCATCTACTCGATTGTGACTCGTTTTCGGTATCGCGGCCATCTGTAGTTCTCTACTACTAATCTTTCAAGAAAACGAGATGGTGTTCGTTTTCTCAACACAAGAATCATATTTTTTCTTACTTAGGAAGTTATCAATTTAAAAACCATAATTAAACATTGATTCTAACAAATATCTAAATATCATATACGGATTTGAGCTCATCTCTAGTAGATGAAAACAGAATGGATCATGATATGCCAAAGATAAAGAACATGATATCGAGTTTGAGCACATCGAATAAAATCACGTGAATAGATCAATTATTAATGAATTATCTCGATGGTATCATCAAGCAATCAATGTGAAATCAAGTTTTTAATCTTTTATTTAATTTGAATTAATTAAAAACGGAAGAAATTTGCCTCTTGAGAGTTATAAGAGCAAAACTAAGAATATAAAAGTCGAAATAAAGTAACTAACATGGCAGACCAAACCTGAGTTATCAGTAATGTTTAAACTAAACAAACTACTTGTCCACTAGTTGTATTGTTTTATTGACGTTGTTATGTTAATGTATTTAAAATAACAAGTAACAACATTGATTGAAGTTTATAGAGTAGAACATCATCGATATTGATCCATTATCCCCACAAGAAGAATACTCTCGCCACAAGAGAAATGGAAATAAAAGGACACGATCATCAAGTAGGTAATTATGGAGGTCACTTGAAATGCGATGCTTGTGACGATCGGTCGTATAGCCATGGCATCCATTGCACCGACTGCGAGTTCACTGTTCACGACAAATGTGTCTTTGTGTTCAGTACACCGGAGACATTTGAGCACCGTTCTCATGTTGGACATTGCCTTAAGTTTCTAACAACAGGAGCTCCTGATCACACCGATCCGAAATGTCACATATGCGGTAAAAACACTAAGCGTCTCCTTTATCATTGTTCTATATGTAAACTCAATTTGGACATTGATTGCATGGTTGATGACATGTGTGCCCGAGCACATCTGAATATGTCGTGGCACCATCATCCTCTACTCTTGCTTGACTTTAATTGTAAGATGTTATGCAAAGTTTGTGGTCATTCAGATGGATATGGCTTCTTTTGCCCTCGTTGTAAGTTGATGGTTCATGATAAATGTGTCTCCGTGTTCGACTCGCCGGAGATCACTCATCCTTTTCATGTGAGACATCCTCTTAAGCTTCTCACCAAAGGAGCTCCCGATTATATAGATCCAGAATGTCATGTGTGTGGAAGAGATACTGAAAGCTTTCTTTATCATTGTGATATTTGTAAGTTCAACTTGGATATGGTTTGTGTGGTTGAATACCATCGGCAACATACAGTCACACCAGTTGCTCTTTCAAATTTGAAGGTTCATGCGCATACACTCACACTCATCCCAAGATTGATCTACTTCGTTTGTGATGCTTGTGGAACAGAAGGTGACCGTACTCCTTATGTTTCTCTTCAATGTGATCTTATGTTCTTCCATCAAGATTGTGCTAGTTTTCCACTTGTTATTTACGTCAATCGCCACGAACATCGCGTTTCTTACACGTATCCTCTTGGTCCTGGAGAATGGAACTGTGAAATTTGTTTAGAAGATATTGACTGGTCATATGGGGCTTATTCTTGCTCCCTTTGTCCTACTTATGCTCTTCATTCAAGATGTGCAACAAGAAACGTCGTGTGGGATGGGGAAGATCTTGATGGATTACCCGAAGAAGTTGAAGATTCTGAGCCATTCAAGATGAATGATGACAACACAATCACTCATTTTGCTCATGAACATAACATGAGTCTCGGCAGAGACGGTATTGCTTTAGTGGAAAGCATATTGTGTGAAGCATGTGTTCGTCCCATCGCTTCTAACACATTCTACAACTGTTCAGATTGCAGTTTTATCCTCCACGAAACATGCGCCAATCTTCCAAAGACGAAACGACATTTTCTTAGCCCAAGACCTCTCACTCTTCACCTCAATAGAGATAACACCGAAACAACATGCATGGCTTGTCTACAACTTTGCTGCAGTGGATTCATGTATAGTGATGGTGATGCTAGCTTTGATGTATTGTGTTGTGCAATTAATGTGCCTTTTATCCATGCGAGTCATCCTCATCCTTTACTATACCTCGAAGTAGGTGAATATGATGATGACGTGAAGGTATGCCAGAATTGTAGCAATGTTGCAGACGAGTTTGCTCTAGGTTGTATCAAATGCAACTACTTTTTGGATTTTCGTTGCGCCAGTCTACCATTAACGGTAAAACTTCCCAGGTATGACGATCATCCACTCACTCTTTGTTATGGTGAAAAAGCAAACGGCAAGTATTGGTGTGATATTTGCGAAAGAGAAACAAATCCAGAGACTTGGTTCTACACATGTAATGATTGCGGAGTCACTTTGCATATTTTTTGTGTACTTGGAAATGTCAGGTACGCCAAACCAGAAGGAAAGATCACAGACGATATTGCTTTGGTGTTTAACAAAACATTTTCACGACCAATTTGCAACAACTGTCTTTGTCGTTGCGTGGCTCCCTTCTTTATTATTAAAGAGAACGAAAGATTTTGTTCTTACTATTGCTTGCTACGTATTCAAATGAGAGCATCTTCAATAAGTCAGATTGTAATCTGTCCTCCATGGGTAGATGATGAAGATACAAATTCTGAGAGCTGAATGTTGGAAGGTCAGCTAATTTGGCAAAAGAAGTTATACACGGCTTGGGCTTTATATATGTGTTTGATCTATCTTTGTTATTTTCATTTGGGATTTGGTTTTGTTTCTTAATTACTCTCCTTTTTTGGATTTTTAGCTCTCTTATTTAAGCTTTGCTTCTTTGTAAGTTACAATATTTTTTGTTAAATTGATATTTGATCTATCTTACTTGAGAGCTTTATTGGATGCACTGGGTTTCCATCACAAATGGGTTGAGTGGGTCATGTTTTGCGTGTCTACTGTGACCTTTGCAGTTTTGATCAATGATAAGCCTTATGGAATGATATCTCCTGGGAGAGGATTGAGACAAGGGGATCCTTTATCCCCCTTTCTCTTTGTGTTATGTACAGAAGGGCTCACACATATCATGAATAGAGCGCAATCCCAAGGGCTTATTAATGGGGTCTCTTTCTCTATAAATGGACCGGTTATTCATCACTTACTGTTCGCCGATGATAGCCTCTTTATTTGTAGAGCTGAGGAAGAGCAAGATGCTGTTCTTAAGGATATCTTGAAGACTTATGGGGAAGCAACAGGTCAGACCATTAATCTTCAGAAATCTTCTATTACTTTTGGGAGCAGAGTGGACGTTGAAAAGAAAATATGTCTTCAAAATGTTTTTGGGATTTTTGATGAAGGTGGGGCTGGTACTTACCTTGGACTGCCAGAGTGTTTTAGTGGTTCCAAAGTTGAACTGCTTAGCTTCATTAAAGACAGATTGAAGACAAGGTTAAGTGGATGGTTTGCAAGATCTCTTTCTTTGGGTGGTAAATAAGTCTTACTGAAAGCTGTGGCTATGGCGATGCCGGTGTATGCGATGTCATGTTTTAAATTGACAAAGACAACAATATCTAATATTACTAGTGCAATGTCTGCTTTTTGGTGGAGCTCTTTTGAGCATAAGAGACAGATGCATTGGGTGAGCTGGGAAAAAATGTGTTTGTCAAAGGCTAATGGTGGTTTAGGCTTTAAGGACATGGAGAGCTTCAATCAAGCCCTATTAGCAAAACAGGCATGGAAGATTTTAAAAGAGCCGGACTCTCTGTTAGCTCAAGTACTTAAGAGCCGGTATTTTCCAATCGAGGAATTTTTGGAGGCAAGTGTGGGAGAGGCCATCTTATGCCTGGAGGAGTATTACTTGGGGAAGGACTTTGCTGAGACAGGGTTTAAGGAAACAAATCGGAAATGGGGCGTCTATAAGGGTATGGATGGATCCATGGTTATATGATCAAGAATGGAGATCTCCATATAGGAGACAGATCTTTTTTAATCCGGGGCTGTGGGTTAGTGAGCTGATAGATGTTCCTAACAGATGTTGGAATCTAAATATCCTTCATGACCTGTTCTTTCCCGAGGATTTGGAGAGGATTCTTAAGATTAAACCAGTGGTGAACCAGAATGATTTCTGGTGTTGGGAACACAATAAGAGTGGGGAATATTCTGTCAAGTCTGGCTACTGGTTGGCCTGCAAATTAAACAAGTCGGAGCTGCTCTTTGAAGCTAGCTGCTTACCCTCTCTGAATGGGATTAAAGAACACATTAGGTCCATACTCACTGAGCCTAAACTTAAAATGTTCTTGTGGAGGGCTGCTAGTGACGCGTTACCTATGGCTCATCTGTTTGCGATTAGAGGTATGGATAGGGATAATAGATGCCAGATTTGTGGAGATGAGATGGAATCCATCAATCATGTCCTTTTCACATGCCCTATTGCTAGACAGGTGTGGGCTTTATCTCTATTCCCAAATCCACCATCCGGTTTTGACCAACTCTCTGTTCACTCCAATCTACATTTCCGTTTCAAGATGAGTAAGGCCAGACATATTCCTGTGGAGATAAGGAGAAGTTTTCCCTGGATTTTGTGGAGAATTTGGAAAAACCGCAATTTGATCTGTTTTGAAGGTAGTTGTTTGTCCCCATTGGATTCTGTTACTATGATCAAAGAAGATGCAGATTTCTGGTTTCTAGCTCAGGTCCAAGACAAGAAGGAGGAGGAAGTGAAAGATCGTGAAGAGAGGGAGGCTACACAGAGTTGGAAATGTCCTCCAAGCTCATGGCTTAAGTGCAATATGAGCAGTTTTTGGTCAAAACATACCAATAGTAGTGGTTGTGCTTGGGTGATCCGAGATGAGGAAGGGGTGGTGATTGTTCATAGTAGAAGGGCTTTTGCTAATGTGGAAAGTCGAGATGAGGCTAATACTCAATGTTTACTTTGGTGCATTGATAGTATTCATAGCCATAAGCTGAACAAAGTTATCTTTGCTATGGATTTTCCCAAGATTATCAAGATTGTCGAGAGACCGAAAGCATGGCCATCCTTTAGTCATCTTTACTCGGAAATCATGGTAAGAATGGATTTTTTGCAAGACTGGAGATTAATTTTTGAAGACCCTTCATCTAATAGAGGTGCTTTTCTCATTTTCTAAAGTGCTTCTTTGGAGGTATTTGCTCAATCATATGTGGTCACAGGTGGTCCGGAGTGGCTTTTTGAGTTGTTTCAGAGTGAGAAAAGGGCTACATCTGTCTCTGATGGTTATAGGGATCTGTCTCCCATTTGACTACTAATTTGATGTTTAGTTAGTCCTTTCTGGTGGTTAGTGCAAATTCTTGTAGCACTAACTTGTTGGCATGTGGTTTGTGAAAAAGCTTTTGTTGTAACACCCTTTATCAATACAATCTAGATGACAAAAAAAAAAAGATCTATCTTACTATTTAAGTTTTTGACATGATCGTATTTGTATTCTCTAATTAAATGATGTTTCTACTGATATTAGCCTACAACTTTATTTTTTTATGGTTTGCATCAAATTCATAATTCGTGCCACATCAAATAGAAAATCATAGTCCTGCTATACGTGAAGTCTTGAAGTAAAATAAGTCAGTCAAGTTACTTGAAATATATAAGAAAAATTAAGCTAACTATTAACTCTAATATTAGCTCACTGTAACGTTGTATCATGTTATTATTTTATCTGAAACATTGAAACTTCTAGTAAAAGTGAAAATTGATTATGTGATTTAATAGATTTGTATATATAGCTCACTCTAGAAATTGATATACCTGAAAAAGCAAAACTGCTCTATTGTCCTCCAAAATTGATATACATGACAATTTTGGAGGACAATAGAGCATTTTCGCTTTTTCACGTATGACAAAAATATGACAAAAAGGACCAAAAAGAAAGAATTCAGATGATATTAAATACAATACCTATATTGTCAAAACAAAAACTCAAAAATATCCAGAAACAAAAATATGCGAAATATCTGAAAAAATACCCTAATGGATTATAAACTCATGAATCGAAAGAGCAAGATCCAAACTGGAACATAATCGAATATTTTGGTACCTATATAAAACCTAAACTCTAAAACCGAAAGAACCCTAAACTGAATAGAACCGAAACCGATCTTAATGCCCGAACGCCCAGGCGTAAGAGAAACCTTCAAAATTATATAATTTTAAAATATAGAAATGTCATAAATTGTTAAATCAACTAGCATTTAACCCGCGGTACACCGTGGGGCGATAATGTTTCTTATTTTTGCCTGATAATACATTTAATGATTTCACATTGTAGTGTGTTTTCTTTTTAAATAAAGTCACGGCCTACTATTATGATAATACGTACATTTTAGGATTTCATATTGTAGTGTGTTTTTTTTTTTAAAAAATAAAGTTACTGCCTAAATGACTATAGATATACAGAGTTCTTATTTGCGGTATGGGTAAATGATTTTCCTATGTGAAATTTTTTATTATTATAAATTAGTAGTTTACTTGTTATGCAAAATGTGAATCTCAACATTACATTTTTAAACCATATTATGAAAATTTAATAGAACTAGGTCGACACCCGGGCTACGCTGCGGGGTATTTTTAAAAAAATTTTTAACCAAAGCAATATAATTACAACAAAAATAAAAGAAAAAGGATTTGAAAAAAAAACACACCCTTCATCTAAAAAATGTATGTTTACCGTAAACAATATAATTACAATTTTATATACTTGTTTAAGAACTTGACGATATACCCTTCATCTTGTTTTGCCATAAAAAATATAAACAAGATTATCTACATAGGTTCAGGATATAAGATAACATAAAGAACATGCAAGAATAAGAAAGTTTATTACTTTGACTTTACTGTTGAAATCAATCAGCCTGACGACCACAAGAGATATCAATCTCTAATGAAAAACTTATTAGATAAAGTTAACTAAACACAAGTTACGAAAATCCATGAAAATATAGAAATCGAAAAAGATGGACCATGCTTTGTTACTTTATGGGTTTTAAAATAAATAGGCTAAGTAATTCATAAACATTGGTTAATATAACTTGGTTCATGACTTCAAATTAGAATGTTCAATGATAAACTGTTACAAAATGACGATCATATGGTTCTTAACATTTTAGGGGAACCTTGGAATACCATTAAGGTTCTTGCAATAAAGTAGATCAAGTGTTTGAGCCGGCGTGAGATCACCTTCATTCAAAACATAAACCACAAATAGAGAGTTTATTCTCAACTTTTTGTTATGCTAAATTATATACTCTTATAAAATAGATCACTAATAATAACCAATTAATGAATAACATTTGTGACGTTTTCGCCAAATTTACAAACAACAAAAAGAGCATAAATCCAAGATAAGTCAAAATGCAATTGCAAACTTCACTTGGTTAATGGTAACAAATTTATTTTAAAAAAAAACAAAAGGCATATTAAATATTTTTACTATGATTTCAAATTATGCTTGTGTAGCAAAAATAATTTTAACATAAATAATCTAAGGTTTTTGAAGTATAATAATTGCTGAAAAATATTTACATATATCAAAATATAAAAACATATCTAACATTCGTAAAACATATACAAAAACATAAAATAACAACAAACAAATACAAAGATTAACTATACGGGTACATTTCTTTTGTAAAAGTAAGATAGACAATTATTTATGAGAAATTGTTAAAAATGCCCCTTTTTCAATACCCCTTTTCAAAAATGCCCCCTTTGAGAGTTCATTTTTAAGTTTGCCTTCTTTTAATTTTTAATGACCATTTTACCCTTATTTGAAACAAAATTAGGTCCACAAAATACAAAATATTTTTTGGCGGGAAAAGTGATCCCGCAATTTTCCCGCCAAAACACTTGTAAAAACCTTTAAAATACCTTGTAAAATTTTCCCGCCAAAATTTTTTTTTTTTGCGGGAAAAGTGATTCCGCAATTTTTTTGGCGAAATTTTTTTGGCGGGAAAATTTTTGGCGGGAAAAATTTACAAGGTATTTTAAAGGTTTTACGGAGTATTTACAAGTGTTTTGTAAGGTTTTACAATGTATTTTAAAAGGTTTTACAAGGTACTTATAAGGTTTTATAAGGTATTTATAACTTGTAAAACCTTATAAAAAACATGTAAAACCTTATAACTTGTAAAACCTTATAAAATAGCTTGTAAAATCTTATAATATCTTATAAATACGTTGTAAAACCTTTTAAAATACATTGTAAAACCTTATAAATACGCTGTAAAAAACCTTTAAAATACCTTGTAAATTTTTCCCGCCAAAAATTTAACGCCAAAAAAATTGCGGAATCACTTTTCCCGCAAAAAAAAAATTTTTGGCGGGAAAAAATTTTACGGGAAAATTTTACAAGGTATTTTAAAGGTTTTACAAGTTTTTACAAGTGTTTTGGCGGGAAAAATTGCGGGATCACTTTTCCCGCCAAAAAATATTTTGTATTTTGTGGACCTAATTTTGTTATATTTCCTTATATATTTGTGATATCTTTTATTAACAGAAGGGTAATTTAGTCATTTTGTACATAAAAAGGGGTATTTTTAAAAATGGACAGCCAAATGGGGCATTTTTGAAAAGGGGTATTGAAAAAGGGGCATTTTTGTAAGTCTTCCATTATTTATTCGTGTATGCATATATAAAATAATAAAATAAAAATAATTAATTCTTACTATAAATACGTATATTAAAACAAAATTAATTTACAAAATTACCCACGGTGTAAACTATTTGTTAAATTCACCTCATGTATATTGTTCTCTAAAAACCACTCGATGACAAACATATTTTTCAAAAATAAAGAGGATAATTTTTTTTTATTTTTTTTGTAAATATTGAATTATTAAAATAATTAGAAATTCATTTATCATTATCAAAAAATTTAAAATCATTGTGTGTATTATTTGTTCTAATTTGATTGGTTGTCTTTTTTAAATGATGTCTTATTAATAATAATAAAAAAATTGATGTGACATGCTGAGAAGTTGATGTGGCAAGCTGGAGAGCTGATGTGCAGTGGCGGATGTACGTTAGGAGTTGGTGGGGCATGTGCCCCACACTGATTTATAATGCTTTATGTGTATCAAGGTTTCAAGAAAGTCACCTAGCACAATTGGTTAAGTAGTCCTGTTTAGTGACCACCATTCCAAGGTTCGAGCCCTTTTAATGTCCCATTATTTTCTATTAATTTTCCCAAAAATACTGTTCTATTTTTTATTTTGGTTGGCCTTCTTTATTTAAATGTCAATTTTATGTTTTATTTTCATTATTTTTGTCTTCAACTAATAAAAAATATATACAATATTGAAAATGTATATATATTGAATATTTAAAATAAAAAATTTATATATATTTTTTGTGTGCCCCATACGAAATATGTTTCTAGATCCGCCCCTGCTGATGTGTATTAATAGGATGATGATTTTAATGAGGTGTCAAGTTGAGAATAACCCAAAATGCTGATGTGTCAGGCCTTAAGAGATTCTTAGTAGGCCTGGGATAAAAACCCGACCCGAAATTTCCGACCCGACCGAACCCGAAGAAACGCAATTCGGCATGCTTCGGGTGTGGGAGATATACCGATCGGAGTAGATGAAATTAGGACTTCGGTTTTCTATTCGGTCGGTTCGGTTCGGGTATTCCGATCGGTTACCGACGATTACCGAAAATTAAACCTAACTATAAAAGCCAAATTTTTTTTACTCTAATCTCATGTCATCTCTTTCACTTCCTCGAGCCTCACTCTCGATTTGCGACTGGCGACGACTCAATCTCGTCTTCCTCGTCAAATTATCAGTCATTCTTCCTTGTTCGTCCTCCAATTTGGTAGAAGGTGAGTTTGAAATCCTCTACTCTCTCTGTTTAAGTGTCGATTTCGATTTGGGATTTAGGGTTTCGGTCTTTGGGTTTGGGGCTTTTACGAATCGATGTTATTGCTCAATTTATCATTTCTGGTTGTGTCTGTCTAGGTATTCTGCTTGTCTCAAAACCTTAATTCCTTATAATCTCTCTTCTTTGTAGATGTCGAAAACTGAAGACAACAACGAAGCTTTTTTGGGTGAGGAAGCTGATGGTACTACAGAATCTTCTGCGGGAAGGAGAAGACCCACGACAGAGCGATCAAGCAGTGATTTTCCAAAACCGAAGAAAGCAAAGAAAAAGCAAGCTCATAGAGCTGAAGTTTGGCAGCATTTTATTGAGAAGGAAGATCTTGTAGGTCTAGCTAGGTGTCGGTATTGTTCCCAACAGATTGGCTGTGATACTAAGTTACATGGGACAAGTTCCATGAAGAGTCATCTGCTAAGATGCAAGTTTTTCAAGGCACATCAAGATCTTAGTACTCAGAAGGTGTTGGCTGGTGATATGAGGGGTGCAATCACTACAGTTCCTTATGATAAAGCGCTTTTTAGGAGGTCAGTGAATGAGTTGCTTGTTTTGTGTGAGTTACCATTTGCATTTGTGGAGTCTGAAGGCTTTAGGAGATTCTGTGCAAATATGCTTCCATTGTACACGGTTCACTGTAGGAGGACAGCAACTGAAGACGTCTTTAAGATGTTTCTTAGTGAAACAGCTAAATTGAAGAGTCTGTTTAGCTGTGAACAGCAGAGAGTGTCTTTGACGACTGCTATTTGGGTTGCTCCTACAACTGCTTGCAGCTACATGGTGATCACTGCTCATTGGATTGACAGGGGCTGGGATTTGCAGAAAAGGATTATCTGGTTCAAGCCTGTGACAGATCATAAAGGAGACACCATTGCTGATCATCTTAGAGCATGTCTAGAGGAATGAGGAATTAAAAAGGTATTCACTATCACAGTAGATAATGCTAAAGGGAATGACAAAGCAATTAGGTTGTTCACAGATGCTTGTAGGTCGCTGGGGCCTAATGCATTAGTTAGAGACGGTTCATTAATCCATATGTGTTGCTGTGCACATATACTGAACTTGATAGTCAGAGATGGTCTAGCAAAGGTAAATGAAAGCATTGTAGCCATTAGGAATGCAATTAGGTATGTAAGATCATCAGGTGATAGGTTGAAATCATTTAAGTTGAGGGTTGAGACAGGTAAGTGTGGTAGAGGAAGCTTGTCTTTAGACTGTGTGACAAGGTGGAATAGCACATATCTCATGCTAACAAATGCTTTGAAATTTAGAGTTGCATTTGAGAAGTTACTTCCAGGAATCAGAAGAAGATAATGGAGAGAGTGGAGAGAGTGGACCAGAGGGTGCAAAGAAGAGGGTTGGACCTCCTACTTCAAAAGGCTGGGATGATGTGCAAAGGTTAGTGAAGTTCTTAAAGATCTTTTTCAACTGCACATTGGCTTTTTCAGCCACTAAGACAGTTACTTCTACAATCTGTTACCATGAGATAGTGCTTATTGAAAGAAGTTTGATTAATTTGAGCATCAATAATGATCAAGAGTTGCGGCTTGAAGCAATGGATATGAGGGCCAAACTTGAGAAGTATTGGGATGGTCTGATCAATATGAATCCACTAGTGATCATTGCTAGTGTGTTTGATCCTAGGAACAAGATGCAGTTTGCTAATATCTGCTTTGACAAGCTTTATGGGAAGGATAGTTTGGAAAGTGACCATCTGAAAAGCTCCATTAAGAAGCTGCTAAAGAACTTGTTTGAAGAGTATGTGCAGAGATTATGTAACAACTCTCAAGCTGAAAGTACAAGAAACAAGAGTGGAGAAGTCGATGATTTGGCACCGCTTTTTGAGGAGGATGATGAATTAGAAAGTAGGGGTTCATTGTGTGATGAGTTGGCTACAGAGACAGTGAATGATGTAGCGACCAGTGAGCTTGACATTTACTTGTTGGAAAAGGCTGTGCCAAGGCAAAAAAATAGATTGGGTATGGACTATGATGTCTTATCATGGTGGAGACGCAACAGCCATAAGTTTCCAGTCTTGTCAGAATTTGTGAAAGATGTCCTTGCCATTCAAGTGTCTTCTGTGGCTTCAGAGTCGGCATTCAGTACAAGTGGAAGGATTTTGGATCCTTTCCGGAGTTGTCTATCCCCTCACATGGTTGAATCTCTCATTTGCACACAACAATGGTTGAGGAATACCATTCATCAAGAGAAGCTTGCAAATTTGGTTCAAATGCTAGAAGAATTGGATTTCCATGAGTCCTTGGGTACTCAAATTTCTTGTTTCTTATAGTCTTTCTATGATTTACTAATTTTACTTCATATCTTATTGACTTACTTCATTATTTTCAGTTGCAGGACCCAAAACAGTGGCTGATGATGCAGACTTGCCGCCGTGATCACTTGAAGTCTTGAAGGGCTCTGTCTTTTTGGACCATCACCATGTGTACCCAAACTTCTCTCTCTCTCTCTCGTTAACTCTTAACTCTCTATTCTGATATTATGTCTTTTGAACTTATGAAATATGAATGTTGTTTGTTTACTTTTGAACTTTTGGTAATGCCTTTTGGATGTTGTTTGATCAATGGTGATGAATGATGATATTTTCTTATGATTTTTGTTTGTTTGATTGCATATTGATGAATTGATGATAATAGCAGGTAGATATAAGTAGAAATGGTGATTTTTGGTTGTATTTCGGTTTAAATCGGTTAAATTTTGAAAAACCGAAATAACCGGTTTCCGAACCGACCGAACCGAAATTAATTTCGGTTATCTTCGGCAACATTTAAAATTTCACAATTAACCCGAAACCCGAACAAACCGACCCGACCCGACCCGAAAACCCGAACTCGCAGGCCTAATTCTTAGTGTTATTATTGTATTGATTAGTTAGTTTTGTATATGAGTGTGATGGGTGAGTTAGGGTTGTCAAACACATCTCATTTAATACGTCTTCTGTTAGACTAAGAATTTTTACGTGATTTTATAGACCAACCCGCAAAAATTATATTACCGTACTAATGTTAACTCTAATCTGCGTCACATGGTCTCTAAAGCTTTTAAAGTTACTTTTATCAAATTTAAAACACAAAGATTATTTTAGTATTTTTTGTTAAAAGTTGGCTACTAAAAGTTGAATAGATTTCTTACATTAATGATATGTTTTAATTGAAGCTAAAATATATGAATTAATAGAAATGACATAGTCATAGACTCATAGTATAATACTTTTCTTTTCGTTTAGTAGAAAGAGCAATCGAATTTCAATTTTCTTTTCCAAAACCTAATCAGACAACTATCCAACTATCGAGAGGACATGTTCATTTAGTAGAAATAAAAAATGACAGTTCTTTAATTTAAATTGCATAAAAATATAAAATATTATAGGCCTTTAACCATTCTTGAGCCCATTAGAATTTCAGTTGGAATGAGAGGACATGAATCAAACTAAATCAGTTGGGCTTTAAGCATAAAGAAGTGTTGAATGCCCGTACGGCCGTACCAACCGCTTGGTCCAATGATCGAGGGATATAAAATGCAAAAATGAGCAAACCAAATCCAAATCCAAATCCAAATCCCTAGAGTTTCGAGAGTGGATCGATCATAGAGGTTAGTTTATGGTGGTGATCGCCAGTGAGCCATGAAACCACACTTGGAGAAGCTGTGAAGCAAAAGCAGGTCGAGAACCATGAAGACTTGAAATCCTGTTTCGACTGATGCCATCCACAGATATGAAGATGATTTCCTCTCTAATTGCATCAAGACAATTACCTTAATCTCTTCGTCGATCTCGTTTAGTATTCTGGTTTTTATGTATCTTCGTCTCCTACTCTAGATTCACCACACGTATTGGCGCCACCTCCAATTACAATGGAAATCGAAAGATAAGATTCTAATCCTTGAAACAAAAAATCAATTAGTTCTTTGTTTGCAAAAACTGTCAACAATTTTATATATTATATAATTTTTGTTGATATTTTCTCAGACTAAAATCTCCATTGATATTTAGTCATGTTTAATGAGAGATTACTCTGGTTTTCCATATTGTGACATTTGTTGAATTTGGCAGGTTCATGAATCTCAAATGCAAAGCAAATTGGACCAAAGCAAAGAGTGTGATTCCTTATGGGATCTTAAAGAACATTTTTCCTATAAAAAAGTACAAACAGGTTAGTCGGTTATAAAGTCTTTCTTCCTAGTAGATTCTACAGCGGGTCTCGTTTTAGAATCTAATTCCTTTATCTTTCTCTATTGGTAGAGTATACTTGTAGGATAGGGGAAGATAGTTTCTTGTCATCTTAATTCTTCATTGACTACTCACAATAAACTCTCTTGCTTAAGACAATTAATAAACATAGATGAAATCAAATCCAAATCTAACTAATAGTCTAATAGTGAAACAAAGCTTTCCAAAAGAAATACGTACAAAATTATATATATTTTTGTTGAAAAACATGGATAATTATCCATTTTATCACTTTCTCCCCAACTCACTTTCTCCCCAAGCTACTCCTCTCATCTTATCCTATCCAAAGACTCTCCTATATATATGTCCTAACGTTTCATTGTAAAATACACAGAGAGAAGTAATAATAAGAAGAGGAGTTGTATTTGTTTAAGTCTTTTTCTTTCACTCGTCTACTTCCTCTCTCTCTTAATACACATATATATTTCTTTCGTAATTATTTTATAACACGTTATCAGCACGAATAAGCTCTCGTTTCTAAAAACATCTGAATCTCTACCTGATCATATATTTAAGGTATTGTGAAGTTATCATGTCAAATTTGGCAAAACTCGAGATCACTGCCCTTGATATCTCTGGAAATAATTATATGAGATGGGCCGTTGCAGCAAAGAGGCATTTAAAAGGAAAAAGGCTCCTTGACACCATCGATAAATCAAAATCACCCTCTGAAGAGGATAAGGCAAATGCCATGATATTTTTAACCCACCATATCCATGATGGTTTAAAAGACGAATACATCACAAAGGAAGATCCTGCAGATCTTTGGCAAGTACTCAGAGATAGGTTTGATAACCAAAAATATGTGATCTTACCAAAAACAAAACATGAGTGGCTGAACCTCCGGTTTCAGGATTTCAAAAGTGTTGCCGAATATAATTCCGCTTTGTTCGGAATTACTTCCAGGATAATGTTATGTGGAGAAAATATAAGTGACTATGATATGATTGAGAAAACTCTCCAAACATTTCATCCTGGAAATGTACTTCTGTAACAACAATACCGAGCAAAAGGATACACGAAGTATTCTGAACTAATGCAAGTTCTGTTGGTTGCAGAACAAAATAATGAAATTGTGATGTTAAACCATCAATCCCGTCCGACTGGATCAGCGCCATTCCCGGAAGTGAATGTTGCAGTATCTAATTATAATAATTACGGACGTAAACGCGATCGAAGTAATGATCGTGGTCGTGGACGAGGTGGATATAGACGTAGACAAGGACGTGGACGTGGACGCGGAAGAAAATTCGGTCCTAATGATTCCATTAAAAACAACAATAAAAGATTCAAAAGGAACGAAGATGGTCGCGCGATTAAGCAACATGAAAATGTTTGTTACAGATGCGGCATGAAAGGACATTGGTCTCGTACCTGTCGTACGCCGAAACATTTGGCCGATCTGTACCAAAAATCACAAAAAGAAAAAGAAACCAACTTCGTTTATGGTGAACCAGGGCCTTCTTTCGATGGTTTAAACGATGATACACATCTCGACATTGCCGATTTCTTAGTTGATCCTGAAGCCATCAACGATAAACAAAATGAATAAAACTTTCCGAAGAAGTTTGTGTGACATGATAGTTATGTTTATCTTCCTGAAGAAGAAAATAAAAGCTTAATGTTTGTTTTTGTGTGTTTTGTATTTTATCTTTGTTGTAAAATAGTTTTATTGTAATATAAATCGTTTGTTATGATATATTAACATATCTTTTATGAATATTTATAAATTCAGAAAATGTCCAAATTTGAGATGAAGGATGGAGATATATGTCTGGCAAACAGTGCTACAACGCACATAATACTTAAAGATAAAAAATATTTCTCCTCCCTTAAAATACAAAATTCCGCCGAAAGCGTGAATACTATATCTGGCAATGCAAAAATTATTATGGGCTCCGGAAGAGCCGAGGGGAACAAAAATTGAAATAAATAATGCATTATATTCTCCTAAATCATTTAGAAATTTGTTAAGTTTCAGAGATATCCGCAGAAATGGATATCACATAGAAACTCTAAATGAAAATGGCATTGAATATCTTTGCATTATATCAATTATTACGGAGAAGAAATGTATATTAGAAAAGCTAGCAGCTTTATCCTCCGGAATATATTTCACAAAAATAAATATGATTGAATCATATGTTACTGTAAACCCGAAGTTTACAAGTACATTCAAAGTCTCGCATGAACGTTTAGGGTACCCAGGTTCAGTCATGATGCGTAAAATTGTAGAAAATTTAAATGGCCATTCATTGGAAAACCAGAAGATTTTTCAGTCAAGAGAATTTTCATGTAATGCTTGTTCTCAAGGAAAACTAATAACTCGGCCATCACCAGCCAAAATCAGGAATGAATCTCTAGTATTCTTAGAAAGAATACATGGTGATATATGTGGGCCTATTCACCTACAATGCGGGCAATTTCGATATTTTATGGTATTAATTGACGCATCCAGCAGATGGTCACATGTGTGTCTATTAACCACACCAAATACAGCTTTCGCAAGATTCATTGCCCAAATAATCAGGTTAAGAGTACAATTCCCTGATTATACGATAAAGAAAGTAAGGCTTGATAATGCTGGTGAATTCACTTCACAAGCTTTCAATGACTATTGCATGTCATTGGGTATTGATGTTGAACATCCGGTCCCGCATGTTCACACACAAAATGACATAGCTGAATCTTTGATTAAACGACTACAACTTATTGCTAGACCATTAATATTGAGAACAAGGCTCCCAATTTCGGTATGGGGTCATGCAATCTTGCATGCTGCTGCACTAATTCAAATACGACCAAGTGCATATCATAAATACTTCCCATTACAATTAGGCTCTGGCCAGAAGCCAGATATATCCCATCTCCGTGTTTTTGGGTGTGCGGTTTATGTTCCGATAGCCCCACCACAAAGAACAAAAATGGGACCACAAAGGAAATTGGGAATATATGTCGGGTATACATCACCAAGTATAATTCGGTATCTTGAACCGCAAACTGGTGATATGTTTACGGCACGTTTTGCCGATTGCCATTTTAATGAAGATGAATTTCCAGCGTTAGGGGAGGAATTAAAGAAATTCCAAAAGATATTACGTGAACTAGAAGTTCAGAAAATTGTACATTTACAAAATTTGGCAAATCAACTACCAGATGCATTCACTGATACAAGAAGGGTGAC